GACGTTGACAACGAAAGACGAGGCTTTGAATTTCATCGAGAACGTTTGCATTCCCCACCCATGGCGCCCGTCGATATGCATCGATGACCGTTCGATTGGTATCGTCAGGTGATGATCGGCATAAGGCAGATATGGGGTATGCTTTAGCTGCAAGGTGTTGGGGCCAAGGGATAACAACAAAGGCAGTTAAGATTGCACTCTCTCAAGTTTTCAAGGACTACCCTGATTTGGTTAGGTTGCAGTCTTTTGTAGCTGTAGAGAATAAGGCCTCTCAGAGAGTTTTGGAGAAAGTAGGGTTTCAGCGGGAGGGTGTGCTGAGAAAGTATCTCTATCTTAAGGGAGATATAAAGGACATGGTTGTTTATAGTTTTTTGTCAAGTGATTTCACTAATGATCTCTCAAGTAATGAATTAAGTAGGGACGAAAGCCGGCCTTAGTGATCCGACGGTGCCGAGTGGAAGGGGCGTTGCTGAACGGATAAAAGTATACTAGGGATAATTAAGTTGATCTTCCCCAAGAGGTCCTAGACTTCTTTACTAATCAAATAATTTGCAATTTTCTTACGTAACATGATGTTATTGGCGTCTTTAAATTCGTTTTAAACTTGCAGTATATTTCTGAATTTTTCTTATTTTGTTATTCTTATTTGATCGTCTTAATGTTTTGTTTATACAGTAAATTGTAATGAAATTGAGAAGAGGTTGAAGAAGTTTGATTAGGAAATGCATGAATCTGCAATTTTACAATATTTCTCTTTCGTATTTGGGTGGCATGACACTAGTAGCTAGGTTAACTTAATTCCCATGACATAATGACCATAATACTGATTCTGTAGGAAGCACTTTTGTTAGAAGTACTTCTATAGAAAAATATTAATTTTTTTATTAAAACTCTAATTAATTTGATGTTGAGCCACCAACTATTTTTTGGGCTTGTTAGACCAATTAGGTTATAAGTTACCTACGACGGGCTATTTATAGAGAACTAAGGAGTTAACATTAGCATTCGGGTGCATTGAACTTGTTAGCAGAGTGTTACCTAGTCTGCAGACCAACGGAGGAATATTCCTTTAAGTTTCATGGATTGTGCTTCAGAGAATCTTGCTGAGCTAAAAGTTTGATAGGCAAGCCCATTACTATCCAGGTAATTTGTGCAGGTCGCATGACCATTGACTTGGACCGTTTGCAATTAATTGAGCCTGAGGGCCTATTGATTCTAGGCTTTTAGGGCCTTCGTAGAGAATGTGACTTGTTAACTCATGACAGTTTGCATATTTCATACAGTAGTCATATTTAATAAGTTGTACATGTGACGTGTTTCTATTAGTCGAGATATTTAATGTTTCCACACTGATGACTTTCCATTGGATTTGAGAGGACGCTCAAACCCTATAAGATGACGAACAGAATATTGATGGAAACCATAACATACCGAAACAGTTAGATACCAAGGCATATAGATATTTTAAAAACTGAATTGATGAAGGAGCCGCGCGAACGCAGGCCCCCACAGCAACAAATTATGACGTTGGCTCTCCTACGTTGAGGAGACCATAAGCAAGCACCCCTCCTAAGTGCAATGGAGGTCACCAGCCTAGGCCATGAGCCTTCTTGATCGCCCATTGACCCCGTCCAGGTAAGTATGTTGCCATATGCCTCCCAATCCTATTTTATACGCCGGTCTCGTCTCTCCACCTCTGCTTTGCTCGATGCGGGACTGTTTGATGTCTCAAACCAAATGCCAAAACTCTTCCTTGCTTTGATTTCTCAGACCAAATACAACGCATTTTAGCATTAGAGTTTGTTCTCACTTGATAAGAACCAAATAAACTCAAATTAATAAAACTGAATAATTCATTGGAAGATTTAGCCACAAACACCAAATGATAAACAACTAGCTATTATATTGCCTGGTAGTATTAAAGTTAATAATTCCCATTCACCAAAAATCAACTAGTAATTAAACTAGTGCTCTGTGTCGGAAGCCAGTGGACTAGAGATCCGGACCACTCACTCTAAATTCTACAAACACCATTAACTCATCTCATTGGTCCACCTAACACAAATCAACAATTTGAATCTCTTTATCTCCTTTGAATGGCCCGAATCTCTATCCACTAGCTCATGATCTCTGACTCTGAATCTCGATTCTTCATAAAGTTGAATGTCACGTCAAAGTGCTGTTAAATTATGCCCGAAATTGCTATCAATCGTAGTTGGTTTATTAGGAGATTAAGACTTTGTAGCAACTTTGGTTAAAAAAATTGGTAAGGCCACTATATTCTACAAACCCAATTCAAAGTCTTTCATGGTCATTAATAATATTTGTAATTTTGTACGTATAACTTCAATCCAATACATCATCATTGACATCATAGCATAGTTGTTTGTTATTTAACTTTATCATACATTTTTAAATATTATTGCTCATAATATCTAGTGTTTTCTCATTCCTATCACCTCTATAACTTGTTATGCAGACCGATCTGTCCAGAATCGCTCTCCGTCCGTTCAGGCTATCTGACGCCGACGATGTCTTGTCATTCGGAGGTGATGATCAAGTGACTCGAGTCCTCCGCGGATTCAAGACGTTGACAACGAAAGACGAGGCTTTGAATTTCATCGAGAACGTTTGCTTTCCCCACCCATGGCGCCGGTCGATATTCATCGATGACCGTTCGATTGGTGTCGTCAGGTAATGATCGGCATAAGGCAGATATGGGGTATGCTTTAGCTGCTAGGTGTTGGGGCCAAGGGATAACAACAAAGGCAGTTAAGATTGCACTCTCTCAAGTTTTCAAGGACTACCCTGATTTGGTTAGGTTGCAGTCTTTTGTAGCTGTGGAGAATAAGGCCTCTCAGAGAATTTTGGAGAAGGTAGTGTTTCAGCGGGAGGGTGTGCTGAGAAAGTATCTCTATCTTAAGGGAGATATAAAGGACATGGTTGTTTATAGTTTTTTGTCAAGTGATTTCACTAATGATCTCTCAAGTAATGAATTAAGTAGGGACGAAAGTCGGCCTTAGTGATCCGACGGTGCCGAGTGGAAGGGGCGTTGCTGAACGGATAAAAGTATATTAGGGATAATTAAGTTGATCTTCCCCAAGAGGTCCTAGACTTCTTTACTAATTAAATAATTTGCAATTTTCTTACGTAACATAGTGTTATTGGCGTCTTTAAATTCGTTTTAAACTTGTAGTATATTTCTGAATTTTTCTTATTTTGTTATTCTTATTTGATCGTCTTAATGTTTTGTTTATACAGTAAATTGTAATGAAATTGAGAAGAGGTTGAAGAAGTTTGATTAGGAAATGCATGAATCTGCAATTTTACAATATTTCTCTTTCGTATTTGGGTGGCATGACACTAGTAGCTAGGTTAACTTAATTCCCATGACATAATGACCATAATACTGATTCTTTAGGAAGCACTTTTGTTAGAAGTACTTCTATAGAAAAATATTAAATTTTTTATTAAAACTCTAATTAATTTGATGTTGAGACACCAACTGTTTTTTGGGCTTGTTAGACCAATCAGGTTATAGGTTACTTACTACGGGCTATTCATAGAACTAAGGAGTTAACATTAGCATTCGGGTTCGTTGAACTTGTTAGCAAAGTGTTACCTAGTCTGCAGACCAGCGGAGGAATATTCCTTTAAGTTTCATGGATTGTGCTTCAGAGAATCTTGCTATGCTAAAAGTTTGATAGGCAAGCCCATTACTATCCAGGTAATTTGTGCAGGTCGCGTGACCATTGACTTGGACCGTTTGCAATTAATTGAGCCTGAGGGCCTATTGATTCTAGGCTTTTAGGGCCTTCGTAGAGAATGTGGCTCGTTAGCTCGTGACAGTTGTCATATTTAATAAGTTGTACACGTGAGACGTGTTTCTATTAGTCGAAATATTTAATGTTTCCACAATGATGATTTTCCATTGGATTTGAGAGGACGCTCAAGCCCTATAGGATGACGAACAGAATATTGATGGAAACCATAACATACCGAAACAGTTAGATACCAAGGCAGATAGATATTTTCAGAACTGAATTGATGAAGGGGCCGCGCGAACGCAGGCCCCCACGGCAACAAATTATGACGTTGGCTCTCCTACGTTGAGGAGACCATAAGCAGGCACCCCTCCTAAGTGCAATGGAGGTCACCAGCCTAGGCCATGAGCCTTCTTGATCGCCCATTGACCCCGTCCAGGTAAGTATGTTGCCATATGCCTCCCAATCCTATTTTATACGCCGGTCTCGTCTCTCCACCTCTGCTTTGCTCGATGCGGGACTGTTTGATGTCTCAAACCAAATGCCAAAACTCTTCCTTGCTTTGATTTCTCAGACCAAATACAACGCATTTTAGCATTAGAGTTTGTTCTCACTTGATAAGAACCAAATAAACTCAAATTAATAAAACTGAATAATTCATTGGAAGATTTTGCCACAAACACCAAATGATAAACAACTAGCTATTATATTGCCTGGTAGTAATAAAGTAAATAATCCCCATTCACCAAAATTCAACTAGTGATTAAACTAGTGCTCTGTGTCGGGAGTCAACGGACCAGAGATCCGGACCACTCATTCTAAATTTTACGGACACCATTAACTCATCTCAATGGTCCACCTGACACAAACCAACAGTTGGGATCTCTACAAACCAACAGTTGGGCCTTCGTAAAGTTGAATGTCACATCAAAATGCTGTTAAATTATGCCCGAAATTGCTATCAATCCTAGTTGGTTATCATCAAACAAGAATAGCTGATAAATTAATTTATTAGGAGATTAAGACTTTGTAGCAACTTTGGTTAAAAAATTTGGTAAGGCCACTATATTCTACAAACCCAATTTCAAAGTCTTTCATGATCTTTAATAATATTTGTAATTTTTGTACGTAAAAATTCAATCCAATACATCATCATTGACATCATAGCATAGTTGTTTGTTATTTAACTTTGACATACATTATTGTTGCTCGTAATATCTAGTGTTTTCTCATTTCTATCACCTCTATAACTTGTTATGCAGACCGATCTCTCCAGAATCGCTCTCCGTCCGTTCAGGCTATCTGACGCCGACGATGTCTTGTCATTCGGAGGTGATGATCAGGTGACTCGAGTCCTCCGCGGATTCAAGACGTTGACAACCGAAGACGAGGCTTTGAATTTCATCAAGAACGTTTGCATTCCCCATCCATGGCGGCGGTCGATATGCATCGATGACCGTTCGATTGGTTTCGTGACTATGTTTCCGGGATCAGGTGATGATCGGCATAAGGCAGATATGGGGTATGCTTTAGCTGCAAGGTATTGGGGCCAAGGGATAACAGCAAAGGCAGTTAGGATTGCACTCTCTCAAGTTTTCAAGGACTACCCTGATTTGGTTAGGTTGCAGTCTTTTGTAGCTGTAGAGAATAAGGTCTCTCAGAGAGTTTTGGAGAAAGTAGGGTTTCAGCGGGAGGGTGTGCTGAGAAAGTATCTCTATCTTAAGGGAGATATAAAGGACATGGTTGTTTATAGTTTTTTGTCAAGTGATTTGACTAATGATCTCTCAAGTAATGAATTAATTACCCACCCATCGAGTAGGGACGAAAGTCGACCTTAGTGATCCAACGGTGCCGAGTGGAAGGGGAGTTGCTGAATGGATAAAAGTACACTAGGGATAACAAGTTGATGTTCCCCAAGAGTTCATGGACTTCTTTACTAACCAAATAATTTGCAATTTTCTTACGTAACATGATGTTATTGGCGTCTCTAAATTCGTTTTAAACTTGCAGTATATTTCCAAATTTTTCTTATTTTGTTATTCTTATTTGATCGTCTTAATGTTTTGTTTATACAGTAAATTGTAATGAAATTGAGCGAGGTTGAAGAAGTTTGATTAGGAAATGCATGAATCTGCAATTTTACAATATTTCTCTTTCGTATTAGGGTGGCATGACAGTAGTAGCTAGGTTAACTTAATTCCCATGACATAATGACCATAATACTGATTCTGTAGGAAGCACCTTTGTTAGAAGTACTTCTATAGAAAAATATTTAAAAAAAATTTATAACTCTAATTAATTTGATGTTGAGACACCAACTGCTTCAGTTGCTGGAGTTCTTGATTCCGCTCTTCAAATTCTTTCAGACGTCAATGCTGGATAGCCACAGCCCATTTCACGATGGTATTCTCCCTTACCAATCCGTCAGTTTGTTGTTTTAGCACTGTCTTTTGCTTTTAAAAACTAAGGGCTGCAACCTCAGCACCAGCACGAGCTCGTGCACTGATGGATTTATCGAAATCCTCTAAATTTTAGCAGCACAGGCCCTAGCATCATCCACACTATTTGCGTTACGCCGGACTCGGAGATCACAATATCAAAGCATGAATTTGTTTCCCTAGACCTTGTGAGCAAGCAACTCAAAAAACTGCCTCGGATTTCTGAATCACCTGCGTTGATTCTTAAAAAAGCGAGCCTTTTTTACTGGACAACGCCGTGGCAGGTTCTTATTATCCTTGATAATAAAAAAAAGACCTCTCACATGCTCGTGAGCGCGTGCAGAGCGGCTAGTACTAAGAAAAGAACGACTGTACTGCAATAACAGACTTTGACCGAAATGTATCCGGTGCCTAAAGTGCTGGCGTATTTAATTCACTTGTTAATTAGTTAATTAAGCCTAGTTTGGCTACTCTTTCTTGTATGTGTTCCTCCTTCGTCCCAGTAATTTAGATTAGTTTAACATAAAACATCCCTTGTATCAACAAGAAAAAGAATTATCATCTCAAACGTAATTTTAAAATTTAAATTAATTCTGTCTTGGTCAAAGTAATGAATGGATGATTAATTATTTTTCAATGTCCCTTTATCACAAGATATCTTAATTTTGATGCAGTCTCTCTTCTCCAATCAACTTTGGATCTCACCAGCTAATGCTGTTTAATTAAGATAAGATAATAAGTTATTAATTTATTAAGACAGACTTCGTAGCAAAAATGATCTTAAACAAGATTATCTCCGGCCATTCAGGCTATCCGATGCCGATGATCTCAAGTGACGCGATGCCTCCGATAGAAGACGTCGACAACCAAAAGACGAAGCCTTGACTTTCATCAAGGATGTTTGCATGTATGCTTTACAAACCTTGACAAATAATTTGTATGCATGTTGTGCGAAATGTAAACTAGCAACTAGTTGTGTCGTATGTTAATCACGCACTTTTATGTAAAAAAAAAAAATTAAGGGAACTTTAACGAAAAACTTTTGGTACTGTTCATTTTAACGAAAAATCACATTTTTACACTAAAAAGTCAATTATGATACTATTCACTTTACCCTTTATTTTGTCTTTATCGTTAAAACTCAAAACTTTCAAACCCTTTTCATTAGTTTTCAAAAAAAATTTAATTGATATGTCAATAAAGATAAGTCATAAGTTACAGCAGTGTTTACTGGCTTGAGAAGATAACATCGGTATGGCATCCCAACCGCATGGAAGTGCCTCTCTCCCAAGGGGTTGGGTCATTGAAGCTAGACCTAGAACAAAATGATAAACCCAATCTAAATCCGTACTAGGTCTTCCACAATAGGCCGGGAAAAGTAAGTGTGATATCAATACATTAAATTTATATATGAATCGCCCGTCTACAGTGGGCCGGAAATTTTTAGTGAGATACCAATTTACTGAGCTCATGAGTTCAATATATCAAACTCATGAGGGACGGTACCAATATATTGAACTCACAAGTAGCAATAGTGTTATAGAAATCAAACTCAGAATGCCTGATTCTAATATCTAGATATCACATTTACATGAACCACCGTGAAAGGCTAAGATTAAGCAACTTCCATCGGACAAATTCTCGAGTGTAACCTGATCTCTCTTTATATGTATTGTATGGCAAATTCTTAGGTATCCACGTGACGAGCGAGAGAGAGATATATGAGTTAGATGGAGATTAAAAAGAGAGATATTATAACACAACTTTCGTTTTAATTTAAATTCTTGGCAACCACAATTTTCTGCCTTTTCTTAGCGGAGCTGCGGAGGTATGAACACAAACTACGCAGCTCCGCTATGAACGCACAAACTACACATCCAGTTTATCTTTTTCTTTGAGGACTAACTACTATGAACACTGTACAAAAAGGACCCCCCACTGCAATGCAATCAATACTGTTGTGCAATTTCTTCTTCCTACATTCTCACTCTTTTCTTTTCAATCTATCGTTTGAGAGTTCGCAACTTGGTATCCTAATCTATCTCGAAAGTAAAGAAGCGAAACGTCTCTGTATTCACAGTTGAGAGAATGAGGCGTTTAAGGCGTAGAATTTACTGAGATTTCTTGCCGGAGATGTGAGCTCGGGTCGTCCAGATTCGACGGAATGACAAGTCGCTGCAAGGGCTTGAGAGCTACCGTGAGCTGTGAGAACGAGGGGCGCAAGTTCGGATCGCTAATCACGCAAAAAGGTACCATCAATTAAACCGAATCCAACAAGTAAAATAATGATATTCAACGAAATATGCAAGGCATTCAGAATTTTGTGCAACTTACGTCTGCCAACATTCCCAAATTATCCTTGCAACAAGGGGATCAAGTTCCTTGGGGATCTCAAGGCGACGGTTCTGGAAACCCACAGCACCGACAACCTGCATTGGGTTCATCCCACTCCACGGCAGTTTTAGAGTTGCAAGCTCCCACAAAATGACTCCAAAGCTATATACGTCACACCTATATATTTAACAAAAGATGCACATTATTTTTTTTTTCGATAATCAAGATATATATAAACCAAAGCTGTAAAAAAAGAACCAGAAATATGTTAGCAAGAATTACTACTCACTTTTCATTTGAGTTTTCATTGCGGAGAACTTCAGGTGCCATCCACTCAGGCTAGCACATCGATGAAATAGGACAAACGAGAAAAAGAGTGTCAAAATTAGATTTAAGAATTGCTGTCATATTTTATCTCATTGCCTCCAGAAACTAAGTACAAAACAAAATATCAACAATAATACAAGATTCTCACCGTTCCAGCAGTTGATTTGGACGACAAGAAAGTGTTGTGTTTCAAGCGTGACAAACCAAAATCGCACACCTGCACAATTGAAGTCTAGTTTAGTAAAAATTATACCATAACTAACTAATTAACTGGCAATAGAATCTCATTATCTACAAGAAACGAGAGAACCAACAGTTAAAAGACGTGATACCTTCACATTCCAGTTCTTATCAACCAGCAGATTCGGAGACTTCAAATCCCGGTGAACAATAGTCGGTGTACTGGCATGCAAGCAATTCATACCCCTTGCCTGCAAAATACACAGCGATCTGAGAAACTGGATACGGATGTATCATGTTCAAAAGAAAGACAGGTAAGACTATATCATACGGTATCATGTTCGAAAGGAAGTGGATATGGATGTATCATGTTCAAAAGAAAGTCATACCACATCCAGAGCCATCTTTATTCTACGTTTCTCGTCAATTTGACAATGAGGACGATGAATAATCCGATATAGACTTCCCCTGGGAAAATAAAGCACAAGTGGACCAGTTACAGCGCAAAGATGACAAATATAATCAAATATCCTTTGATATTGACCAAGGTGCAGAATTATACCTCGGAAGAAACTCAGAAATGATAGAGAGGTTTGGAGGACGTGTAACAGCCCCCATGAAAAGCACAACGTTTGGATGACGCAATCTACGCATTATTCGTACCTTACATTGCAAACAAATATCAAAGAAACAGTTCAGTGGTTTTGGAAATGCGATTTTAACAGACACACAGCCAGGCATGTGAATAGTGATCCATCACTATGTATATGTGACTGTCAAACTTGGAGAAGTACAAAGGCTTGGCACATCATATGTCTACCATTTTAGTATGGAGTTCAGGTTGAAACGTTCTATCATTGTCAACAATATCTATTTAAAAGCAGCAGCTGAGAGGTTATAAGTCTATTTTCTTAAAAAAAAAAAAACACACAATAATTATTGAGGTTGTAACTCTATTTATTTTTCTTCCATTCCTCCCAAGTCTTGGAAGCTAAAAAGTACAGCATTGTATGCATATAAGAGACGAGAAATTTACTTCTCTTTTGAACTCAGCCAAAGCAGCACCCGAGAAATCCTGGTCTAAGAACTTCTTCACGGCAACTTCCTGTAACTCAACAACAGTTCACCAGCCAAAATTTAGGTCACCAGTTGATTTTAATTCCCGTTGAATTAAATAAAAAACAGTTTGAAGCCTCTGGCAATGAACTAAGTACATGCATGGTCCCAAGCAATGGTGACAAAATAAAAATCCACCATAAGGTAATGAATAATAGAGAAACAATTAACAAAAACTACAAATCTTAGCTAACTTTAAAGAAGACCGAAAATAAAGACTTGAACATATGGATTTAATCATGTACCCCAACCATACACTTCCTAAACCTGCTTTCCAGTAAACAGAAAAGCAGTTTTGGCTCACACCGAAAAATCTCTCATGGTTGTACATCATTTGACAATGATAATTGATAAGCATAAAAACTATGTGATTTCATCAATGCTTCAAAGCCAAAATACATTTTATGGTACTAATTTATATATTTGATTTTATCAGTGACTGGGGCATAATCACTATAAACAATTTAGCAGTGCCAGTCACCGAAGCGAATCAGAAAAAAAAAGTTAAAGAAAAGAAACTGGAAAATTGAAATGCACAAGGAGAATAATATATGGGAAAAAACATATCACTTCAACATCAACGGGTCTGAGATAGGAAAGAATGAGAATACTTGACAAAGGCATCCTTGGAAACAGATAAATATAAAAAATCAAATAAAATATAACAACAGTTGCCATACAACGTATGGAAAAGTATACAGTGTTTATAAAAACTCACCGTGCCATGCCAATCAGCATGGTATACCTCACCATATGAACCTAATCAAGAACAAGAAGAAGAATTAGACAGCTCCCCGAGAAAAATAAGTTTTTTGCTTCGCAAAGAATGAACACTGAAAATTTTCCAGACAATATAAGACAACTTTGACCAGGTATGGAACATTACCTAGTCCAATCCTTTCTCCAATAACCAGGTCTTCCCATGGAATTTCACATTCACCTACGTCAACATCCTCAAATGATGAGCTAGTGCTAGAATGATATTCAACCCTGCTTGTAATGGAATCAAATGATGAGTTACAACTTTCTGGATCCTTCAGTTTCAAATTGGATTCCATAAATCTGTCATGTGTGAACTTTCTAGGATCATTGAAACCAGTTTCAATGTTCTGATGTTCTTTAGAATCTACTGTGTTGTTCTGTAAATAGTTCGGAGCCCTGGGTTGTTCCCCTTTAAAAATTTTGGCATCACCATCTCTGTCAAACATATTTGAATGAGCGGTTGATTTGAAACCACCAGGATTGACCTGTTCAGATACAGTAGAGCTGGTCGAAGCTGAAGATGACGGATTGTAACCATTAGGCTCACGATTAATTTTTGGGAGGATACCATCATACTCCTTTCTTTTAGGGACTTCATTGAAAGCATATTTATTTTTCCACATCAAAGATGCAGGAGGTCGACCAGAAGCAAGATTATTATTTTGTCTCTGAAGCTCTTCAACTTTTTTCTCCGCAGGTTTGTTATACATAGAAGCTTTCCCAGGTCCTTTTATTTGGAATGGGTTAAGATCAGCAAAAAGGTTCTTTGGGTCCTCAGAGTTGTTTTGAGTACATGGAACTATATTTACATTCATCCTCATACCACCATCAATTGCATGAGCCCCACGATTACCTCTGTTGTACTGTGATTTTTTGGAGGCTGATGAGGAAAGCTGATCTAACTGAGTTGCTTTATTTGGTATTCCTGAAGAACCAACTCCACTCTCACTACTTGCACCCGAAAATGTTGGAAATGATTCTCCCTTATCTGAGCTTGGTCTTCTCTCCAGACCTGAACTACTTTCAACTGCTGTGTTTTGGCTGCTTCCCTCTCCATGTAATGGTTTTGGTCCTGGGTAAGCGATATCTGTGTCGATATAAGAATGGAAAGTAGGAAGTTTGGTCAAGTTTGGATTGTATGGCTTAAAGGTAGCGTCCTTTGAAATTTGGGTGTCAGTTGGTACGAGTGTTCCAGGATCAGCCATCAGATCCACCAAAAACTCCCTGAAGACAAACTATAAATTAAATCTATGTAAAAAGGTAAACAGATCAAGTTGGAAGGTAGGAAAAATTCAAAGAAGCCTGCTGCTCAACTCTAAGGACAAAAGAAATCTAATGCTATACTACACTCTAAATGCATAGAAAGATGACAAAATCTCCTATGTTACTGCACATTATGAAGCTATTCTGTGGCTAGAATTTGTCGTTAATCAGTCAAAATTTATAAGGTTTTAGAGATCCGGTAAAAAATTTAGAATAAAACCGAACTCACAGCAGCTGCTTAAAATTATAGAGACCTTGTAATAAGTTTTTTTAGACTAAATTTTTGTGCATGCACAGCCCAGAATAATATAAGTGAAAACCCAACACATTATACAAAAGTATCAACATTTAACCACAAAAACCTGCAAAAAGCAAACCACTACCTGTCATCCTCCAACTTTATTACATTAACAGCACCATCCTCAGCACCAGTGTAATGAACACCCTTAAGCAGTCTGCAGGGCATCTTGATATTGTCAGCTAGTACCTACATCCGAAGAAACAGATAAATATACAAAATGTAGCCTCAACTTCTATTAAAAGAAATTTGTAATGGTAAGATCATTAATTAACCCTGATAAAGTCCCTACTTACATTTAAATGCAAAAAATAATTGCTTAATGTCATAAAGCAGAGAAATACAAGCAAAAAACTTGTGTTATGTCAGCAAAACCAAAAAGCTTCCAGTGGTCACTAACAATTTAAATTTAGAAGATCCATTAATAGCATGGCCAATGTATTAAATCCAAAACATAAAAAGCAGGAGAAGTTGGTTACGTACATCCGAGGTGAGATGAAAAATCGAAATACAGGACGTATACTTATATATTTTTTGTAAGGACAAAACAAGCATCAACAACAACAACAACAAAGCCTTTTCCCACTAAGTGGGGTCGGCTATATGAATCCTAGAACGCCATTGCGCTCGGTTTTGTGTCATGTCCTCCGTTAGATCCAAGTACTCTAAGTCTTTTCTTAGAGTCTCTTCCAAAGTTGTCCTAGGTCTTCCTCTACCCCTTCGGCCCTGAACCTCTGTCCCGTAGTCACATCTTCGAACCGGAGCGTCAGTCGGCCTTCTTTGCACATGTTCAAAATCACCGGAGCCGATTTTCTCTCATCTTTCCTACAATTTCGGCTACTCCTACTTTACCTCGGATATCCTCATTCCCAATCTTATCCTTTCTCGTGTGCCCACACATCCCACGAAGCATCCTCATCTCCGCTACACCCATTTTGTGTACGTGTTGATGCTTCACCACCCAACATTCTGTGCCATACAACATCGCTAGCCTTATTGCCGTCCTATAAAATTTTCCCTTGAGCTTCAGTGGCCTACGACGGTCACACAACACGCCGGATGCACTCTTTTCCATCCAGCTCGTATTCTATGGTTGAGATCTCCATCTAATTCTCCGTTCTCTTGCAAGATAGATCCTAGGTAGCGAAAACGATCGCTTTTTGTGATCTTCGCTAGATTGCTCCCGGTCATTAGTGTGGATAAGTATATAAATGGATAGAGATAGGAAAGCAAACACAAGATGTACGTGGTTCACCCAGATTGGCTACGTCCACGGAATAGAAAGAGTTCTCATTAATTGTGAAGGGTTTACACAAGTACATAGGTTCAAGCTCTCATTTAGTGAGTACAAGTGAATGATTTAGTACAAATGACATTAGGAAATATTGTGGGAGAATGATCTCGTAATCACGAAACTTCTAAGTATCGGAGTGTGGTGTCGTCTTGACTTGCCTTATCTGTCTCATAGGTAGATGTGGGCATCTTCTCTGGAAGTACTCTTCCTCCATCCAGGGGTGGTATCTTTAACTGGTGGAGATGCACAAGGTAATGTATCAATTTCACTTGAAGCTTACTTGTAGTTTCAGGCTTGGTCAAGCGCGATACAAACCATGTAGTAGGAGTCCCCCAAGTCGCCGAGCTAGGGGGTCTGCTGAAAGAGGTGACAGACAAGGTAAGCAATCAGAGCTCCGACTGATTGTTCACCTTCTCCCCATCTTGCAGCAGCATGAAGGATAAAGAGAAGAAAAATGAGAAGAGATGATATGAGATACTTTTGCTTTTGAAGAAGTAACTTTCCACAGGCTTATTCTTGAACTGAGCTGGAGGGTTTTCTGGTTTCCTCCAGAGTATAAGGCCGACTGAAGAATTTGAGGGTCAAAAACAAGTCCATCAAATCTAGAGTACGTTCCACCCTGCTGATATGGGATACTTTTGCTTTTGACAGAGTAATGAATGTATCGGCACGTGTGCTGTTACGCTTGTCTCCACATGCTTCCTTGTATCCTTCGCACTTGCCCTATCTGTTCCTCAAGCAGATGCGGAATCTTCCCTGGAAACATAAGATGTTGAAGATGAGTACTCGAGAGCAATGCCAGGTAAGTAATCAGGTAAGGGGTTCCAGGCAGTCAGTTCCTGGCTGGAAGCTTGATTCCAAGTGCTGACTGATTGCTCTCTTTCTCCTTGTCTTGCAGGTAAAAACAAGGCCAAAAGAAAAGACAGGAAAAAAGCATGATATGGGATACTCTTGCTTTTAACCCTGATGATATGAGATATTCTTGCTCTAGTATAGCTTGTTTGCAGAGGTATTATCGGGGGGAAAGAAAGCTGAATATTTCGAAAGGCTTCGTTGGGAGTGCCCTCTCAGATATGATGAAGGGTTGAGCATTTTTGCAGGTCTGCCTGTCCGTTGGGGATGGAGGTCGACATATATAGGAGTCTCCCTAACAACAAGTAGTAATGCTATTCCTTTACCCTGCTTGGTCATAGCACGGTAGTGGGAGCTGCCAGTTTCACATGTTTTAACTCTGTCAGAGCACTTTGAAAAAGTGGTCTGTGGTATCTGGCTCTCGAGATTCGGAGAACGATGCCTCTTCGATTTTTGAGAAAGCAATCATGCTGGGGGTATGACTCTCTCGAGATTCGGAGAGAGCAGTGTCTCTTCGATTTTTGAGGAAGTAATCATGTTGGGAGTCTGGCTCTCGAGATTCGGAGGGTGGTGCCTCTTCGATTTTGGAGCAAGCAATCTTGTTGGGAGTGTTGTCTCGAATGTGAGTAAAGGTTGGGCATGTTTGCTAGTCTACCTTGCCACGAAGCACAAAGGTTGACACACAGGGACTTTCCAATTATCCAGCAATGGTACTGTTCCTTTACCCTCTCTTCGATTTTTGAGAAAGTAGTCATGTTGGGAGTCTGGCTCTCGAGATTCGGAGGACGGTGCCTCTTCGATTTTGGAGCAAGCAATCTTATTGGGAGTGTTTTCTCGAATGTGAGTAAAGGTTGGGCATGTTTGCTAGTCTACCTTGCCACGAAGCACAGAGGTTGACACACAGGGACTTTCCAATTATCCAGCAGTGGTACTGTTCCTTTACAGTTGTGGGTAATAATATGGTAGCTAGACCTTCAAAATTTATGTGTCTAAACTTTTGTTAGTGCTGTTTCTTTGCTATTCTTTTACCTTTCTTGGTCAGAGCGATGTAGTGGGAGCTGCAAGCTTCACGTGCTCAACTTTGGCAGAGAACTTTGGCAAAGTTATTTGTGGTACCCATGAGCTATTGTTGCGTGTGGGAAGTGGGTGATTGAACAGTAAGATTCATGTGCTTTCTACTTCACCAGAAGTCTTCGACAGAATGCCCATAATTTCTGCAAAGCTGAGTGTGCGTGTGACAGGTGTTGACAAGGCTAGAAAAGTAGGGCCTCTTCGATTTCTGAGATCGGCCCTCGTGGTCTCTGAGCAGCCCAGCTTTTGAGAAAGCGAGCGCCTCTTCGATTGATTCGGAGAAACGATGCCTCATCGATTTTTGAGAAAGCAATCATGCTGGGGGTCTGGCTCTCGAGATTCGGGGAGCAGTGTCTCTTCGATTTTTGAGAAAGTAATCATGTTAGGAGTCTGGCTCTCGAGATTCGGAGGGCGGTGCCTCTTCGATTTTGGAGCAAGCAATCTTGTTGGGAGTGTTTTCTCGAATGTGAGTAAAGGTTGGGCATGTTTGCTAGTCTACCTTGCCACGAAGCACAGAGGTTGACACACAGGAACTTTCCAATTATCCAGCAATGGTACTGTTCCTTTACCCTCTCTTCGATTTTTAAGAAAGTAGTCATGTTGGGAGTCTGGCTCTCGAGATTCGGAGGACGGTGCCTCTTCGATTTTGGAGCAAGCAATCTTATTGGGAGTGTTTTCTCGAATGTGAGTAAAGGTTGGGCATGTTTGCTAGTCTACCTTGCCACGAAGCACAGAGGTTGACACACAGGGACTTTCCAATTATCCAGCAGTGGTACTGTTCCTTTACCCTTGTGGGTAATAATATGGTAGCTAGACCTTCAAAATTTATGGGTCTAAACTTTGTTAGTGCTGTTTCTTTGCTATTCTTTTACCCTTCTTGGTCAGAGCGATGTAGTGGGAGCTGCAAGCTTCACGTGCTCAACTTTGGCAGAGAACTTTGGCAAAGTTATCTGTGGTACCCATGAGCTATTGTTGCGTGTGGGAAGTGGGTGATTGAACAGTAAGATTCATGTGTTTTCTACTTCCCCAGAAGTCTTTGACAGAATGCCCATAATTTTTCGCAAAACTGAGTGTGCGTGTGACAGGTGCTGACAAGGCTGGAAAAGGCTGGAAAAGTAGGTGCCTCTTCGATTTCTGATATCGGCCCTCGTGGTCTCTGGGGAGCCCAGCTTTTGAGAAAGCGAGCGCCTCTTCGATTTTTTGAGATCGGCCTTCGTGGTCTTTGAGCAGCCCAACTTTTGAGAAAGCAAACGCCTCTTCGATTTCTGAGATCAACCCTCGTGATCTCTAAGCAGCCCAGCTTTTGAGAAAGCAAACGCCTCTTCGATTTCTGAGCAGGCGCCTCTTCGATTTCTGAAGCTTCGTCGAGTGCAGATTTTTATAGGGGCTGGCATTAAGTTCCAAAGCACACTTGAATCTCCACCAGTAGAAGCTTCATTCTTGCACTTCTAAGATCTTGATTTGTCCGACCTCTTCTCTCTTCAACACCTTTGAAAATGTCTGGCCCCTCCGACCGTCGTTTTGACTTGAACCTTGTTGAAGAGGCAGCCCCGCCTTCTCCAGACAACATATGGCGCCCATCCTTCGTCTCCCCTACTGGTCCTCTTACCGTTGGGGATTCCGTGATGAAGAATGATATGACCGCTGCGGTGGTGGCCAGGAACCTTCTCACTCCCAAAGATAAACAGACTACTTTCCAAACGGTCTGATGATGAGTTAGCTGTTAAGGATTCGCTGGCTCTCAGTGTTCAGTGTGCAGGTTCTGTGTCTAATATGGCCCAACGCCTATTTGCTCGAACCCGCCAAGTTGAATCATTGGCGGCTGAAGTGATGAGTCTCAAACAGGAGATTAGAGGGCTCAAGCATGAGAATAAACAGTTGCACCGGCTCGCACATGACTATGCTACAAACATGAAGAGGAAGCTTGACCAGATGAAGGAAACTGATGGTCAGGTTTTACTTGATCATCAGAGATTTGTGGGTTTGTTCCAAAGGCATTTATTGCCTTCGTCTTCTGGGGCTGTACGCGTAATGAAGCTCCAAATGATCAACCTCTGATGCCTCCTCCTTCTAGGGTTCTGTCCAGTACTGAGGCTCCAAATGATCCCCCTCCGATGCCTTCTCTTTCTGGGGCTCTACCGACTGCTGAGACTTCTCCTAAGCAACCTTTGTGAAGGCTCCCTCTTGTGTGCTTATTTTGACTCATGTATATGTACATATTTGTAGCTTATCGGGGATATCAATAAATAAGCTTTCCTTCATTTCAACGTATTGTGTTAAATACACCAAAGCCTTCTTCGCTAAGTTCTTTTGAATTTTCTTTTGTTAAAGCTTGTATGTTGAAGGTTTCTGAGTGGAGCATGTAGGTTGGGGTAGTGTTCTCTTAATTTCCCGAATGAGGAAAACTTCTCGGTTGGAGACTTGGAAAATCCAAGTCACTGAGTGGGATCGGCTATATGAATCTTAGAACGCCATTGTGCTCGATCCTGTGTCATGTCCTTCGTTAGATCCAAGTACTCTAAGTCTTTTCTTAGAGTCTCTTCCAAAGTTTTCCTAGGTCTTCCTCTACCCCTTCGGCCCTGCACCTCTGTCCCATAGTCGCATCTTCTAATCGGAACGTCAGTAGGCCTTCTTTGCACATGTCCAAACCACCGTAACCGATTTTCTCTCATCTTTCCTTCAATTTCGGCTACTCCTACTTTACCCCGGATATCCTCATTCCTAATCTTTTCCTTTCTCGTGTGCCCACACATCCAACGAAGCATCCTCATCTCCGCTACACCCATTTTGTGTACGTGTTGATGTTTCACCGCCCAACATTCTGTGCCATACAGCATCGCCGGCCTTATTGCCGTCCTATAAAATTTTCCCTTGAGCTTCAGTGGCATACGGCGGTCACACAACACGCCGGATGCACTCTTCCACTTCATCCATCCAGCTTGTATTCTATGGTTGAGATCTCCATCTAATTCTCCGTTCTTTTGCAAGATAGATCCTAGGTAACGAAAACGGTCGCTCTTTGGTATTTCTTGATCTCCGATCCTCACCCCTAACTCGTTTTGGCCTCCATTTGCACTGAACTTGCACTCCATATATTCTGTCTTTGATCGGCTTAGGCGAAGACCTTTAGATTCCAACACTTCTCTCCAAAGGTTAAGCTTTGCATTTACCCCTTCCTGAGTTTCATCTATCAACACTATATCGTCTGCGAAAAGCATACACCAAGGAATATCATCTTGAATATGTCGTGTTAACTCATCCATTACCAACGCAAAAAAGGTAAGGACTTAAGGATGAGCCTTGATGTAATCCTACAGTTATGGGAAAGCTTTCGGTTTGTCCTTCATGAGTTCTTACGGCAGTCTTTGCTCCTTCATACATATCCTTTATAGCTTGGATATATGCTACTCGTACTCCTTTCTTCTCTAAAATCCTCCAAAGAATGTCTCTTGGGACCCTATCATACGCTTTTTCCAAATCTATAAAGACCATGTGTAAATCCTTTTTCCCATCTCTATATCTTTCCATCAATCTTCGTAAGAGATAGATTGCCTCCATGGTTGAGCGCCCTGGCATGAACCCGAATTGGTTGTCCGAAACCCGTGTCTCTTGCCTTAATCTATGCTCAATGACTCTCTCTCCAGAGCTTCATTGTATGACTCATTAGCTTAATACCCCTATATAGTTCATGCAATTTTGTACGTCGCCCTTATTCTTGTAGATAGGCACCAAAGTGCTCATTCGCCACTCTCATTTGGCATCTTCTTCGTTTTCAAAAATCCTATTGAAAAGGTCAGTGAGCCATGTTATACCTGTCTCTCCCAAAAGTTTTCCACACTTCGATTGGTATATCGTCTGGGCCTATTGCTTTTTTTATGCTTCATCTTCTTCTTCAAAGCTACAACCACTTCTTCTTCCTTCCGGATTCGACGATAAAAAGAGTAGTTTCTACACTCTTCTGAGTTACTCAACTCCCCTAAAGAAGCACTCATTTCATGTCCTTCATTGAAAAGATTATGAAAATAACCTCTCCATCTGTCTTTAACCGCGTTCTCTGTAGCAAGAACCTTTCCATCCTCATCCTTGATGCACCTCACTTGGTTTAGGTCCCTTGTCTTCTTTTCCCTTGCTCTAGATAGTTTATAGATATCCAACTCTCCTTCTTTGGTATCTAGTCGTTTATACATATCGTCGTAAGCCGCTAACTTAGCTTCTCTGACAGCTTTCTTCGCCTCTTGCTTCGCTTTTTCTATACCTTTCACCATTTTCATCAGTCCTCTCCTTGTATAAGGCTTTACAACATTCCTTCTTAGCCTTCACCTTTGTTTGTACCTCCTCATTCCACCACCAAGATTCCTTTTGGTGTGGGGCAAAGCCCTTGGACTCTCCTAATACCTCTTTTGCTACTTTTCGGATACAACTAGCCATGGAATCCCACATTTGGCTAGCTTCCCCCTCTCTATCCCACACACATTGGGTGATTACCTTCTCTTTGAAAATGGCTTGTTTTTCTTCTTTTAGATTCCACCATCTAGTCCTTGGGCACTTCCAAGTCTTGTTCTTTTGTCTTACTCTTTTGATATGTACATCCATCACCAACAAGCGATGTTGATTAGCCACGCTCTCTCCTGGTATATAACTTTGCAATCCTTACAAGTTATACGATCCCCTTTCCTCATTAGAAGAAAATCTATTTGTGTTTTTGACGACCCACTCTTGTAGGTGATCACATGTTCTTCTCTCTTCTTAAAGAAGGTGTTGGCTAAGAAGAGATCATATGCCATTGCAAAATCCAAGATAGCTTCCCCATCCTCGTTTCTCTCCCCAAAACCATGGCCACCATGAAAACCTCCATAGTTGCCTGTCTCCCTGCCCACGTGTCCATTTAAATCTCCTCCTATAAATAACTTCTCCGTCTGAGCAATTCCTTGCACCAAGTCTCCAAGATCTTCCCAAAATTTCTCCTTCGAACTCGTATCCAACCCTACTTGAGGTGCGTACGCACTAATCACATTGATAAGTTCTTGTCCTATTTACAATCTTGATTGCCATGATTCTATCTCCTACCCTCTTGACATCTACAACATCTTGTACCAAGGTCTTGTCCACGATGATGCCAACACCGTTTCTCGTTCTATTTGTGCCCGAATACCAAAGTTTAAACCCTGAGTTTTCTAGATCCTTTGCCTTACTACCAACCCACTTAGTTTCTTGTAGGCACATAATATTTATCCTTCTCCTCACCATAACTTCCACTACTTCCATAGATTTTCCCGTTAAGGTTCCTATATTCCACGTTCCTAAACGCATTTTGCTCTCTTGAACTCTACCCTTCTGTCCTAGCTTCTTCACCCTCCCCCGTCTAATAGGATCAAAGTACTTCTTTTGTGTGTCCCGGGTAAAGTTGATAGGAGCATATGCTCCCAAACAACTTTGAGTGGAGTCGTTCGAAAAGAAGTTTCTATGGCCCCCTTGCTCATTTAACACTGCATCCGGGTGCCGATGGAGATACAGCGACCCTTGCTCACTTATCACTGTGCTCAGGCCACACAGCGCGCCACTTACGGGTGACGCCCTAGCTTTAGCGCGATTTTGTTCTGGATTCATTTTCATAAGGATTCGACGTGATCATGGAGTGCCGGCTGTCGACTACCTGACGCCCTCCCCCTCCTCCTTTATCCGGGCTTGGGACCGGCCATGTAAGGACAAAACAAGCATCACTCTTTTAATATGATTATTACTGAAAATAACAAAACCTCCATAATATAGAACACAGCTAGCTATACTAATCCCAGAAGAAATCAAGGATTACAAAATATTATTGCCTAAAGATTCTAATAACTGATGATAATCTGAAACCGAACCTTGAAAAGCAAAGCACGATGTCGGGAAAGGCCAATGGTTATGGACCCAATAGGCAATACACTTGTTTGCAGAGATGTCCTCAACTCTGTGCTTCTTTCCATCCATCTCGCTAAGACAACATTTGCATCCTTTACAGGCCCACCCATACGTTCGCTAACGAGTTCAGCAAGCCTCAGAACCAAAACACCAACGTTGGTGACAGGACAGTCTAAAGCAATACACTGTGCAATTTGCACCAACTCTTCCAAGACAGGATCAACTGTTCGATTTACTAATGAAACTTCAAATCCAGAACTCCCAAAGTTTGTTTCAAGATTTGTGAGAGAAGGCATTTTTCCTTGAATTGCTGAATCTGTGGAAAGTCCATATACATCATAAAATCCATCAACCACTTTCTCCTCATAGTCTAGCACATTGTACTCCTGGTATAAACAAGAGAATACAATCCGAATCAAGATGAGCAAAAGTAAAAACAATGTCTTGATAGTAGCATATACAAGCAAAACAAAATGAAAAAAGTGGTAAAAATACTACATCTTTCCCTTATCAACGGAATCTACTACCACTAATGGAGGATTTTTCTATTTGACACTGAACAAGTAAGAACTTAAAAATTTATAATGATGCTCTCAAAAGGCTGTCATTGATACTCTCTCACTAAACAATCGTTTCTAACCCAGGACGCAAGACTAGGCTAAGAAAAAATTGAGCTCAGCTACATTTCTGCCACGCCTTAAACTACTCTACACGCCAACTTGTATCCGAATTTTAGCAGTGAGTTGACATTCCAAAGTTTTAAACTTATCAAAAGATAATTCACGGGTCATTTCGAAAACTAGTAAAAACTCCAGAACATTACAGACCATATGCTCATACAGATGAATTCACTACTACACTATTAGCAGGATTCTGATAGTGCAAAAGACCAGATCTTTCTCTTACTTAAAAATGAATTGAGCAAATTCCAAACAGTCAACCTTACTATGACAACAGTCAAACTTAATTAACAGTAAAATTTGCTTTGCTAATCCCAAATCAAACGCAAATTTAACATAATTAACAACCAATCCATGCTGATACACTACAATCAACTACTAATTTATGGTAAAATTGACTACAAAAGTGACTAAATTCGAACATAAAAACTTCACCAAACTCACCCAATAGTGCCGCGACAAGGTCTCCGCCGCCGCCTCAACCTTATCTCTTGAAGAATCGATCGGATTGCCGCCCAAGCTCAGCAGCGTCGCCGCGCGGATCTGATCCTTCTCCGGATCATCCCTAAAGTTCGAATTCGAAGCGCTGATCGCCAGGGCGAGCTGGACCTGATACTCCTCTTCCGACATCATAAAGTCCGACCGATTCACAGTCGTCGACTCCACAGTGCCACCTCCCCCAGCTGCCACGGTTCCCGCCGGCGTCGGCGAAGACGATGAAGGACTCGCCGGAGCGTTTCCGGAAATCTGACCCGACGCGGTCCGGTGATCGGAGGCGCACGACGGCGAGGCTACGGAGGAGGAGGAGGCCGCGGCGGCGGCGGCCTCGTTCGATCGGGTCGGGTCGTGGTTGCTCCCTATGTGAAGCTTCTTGAAAATGTGCTTCATCGCTTTATCTCTCTTTCTCTCTCTTCTTTCTTTCTCTACCTTCTCCGCCAGCTTGAAATCTTCTCGGCGTTTCTCTCACTTTCTTTGTCGCTCGATTTTTTCTGTTTGGTTTGTTGGTGGTCAGAGAAGCGCGTTCTCGGAGGGAAAACTGACGGGCGCTGTGGGTGTTATACGTTCGCCGGTAACTTAACGGGCGCTGTCTTTATCGAAATTACGGGATTGACCCACGGGGATTTGTAAACGATCTTGTGCCAGTGAAGAAATTTTGAGTTGTGACGGAACATTGTTTTATGTGAGTGATGGAAAATTTTAATTTTTAAATTATTATTATTTTAACATATATCTTACCATTTATATGGAGACACGTGCTGTACCACCTCATGTGATAGTTACACTGAAAAATATCTCGTGTGAGTGGAGAGATTTTTCCAATGTGACCAAGACACAGGTTGGTATACCATGTGTCACTATACAAATTGTGGAATATATATGCTTAAAAGTTAATAACTTAAAAAAATAAAAATATCAACTTTTTCTATTAAAACACCTGATATACCATTTATGTTCCCGTCACAATTAAAAATTTCTGATGCGAGTGGGCCACCGTGACGAGCTTATGACCTACATGGCGATGACGTCCACGTCAGAGAGAGGTGCCTAGAATTTTCGAGGGGGTTTATGTTGACAGTAAACGCGGTTATCTTGGAAGACGGAAGTGGCCTTTATTTTGTTTGTTTTTGGGGAAGTAATACCCTCCTTTTGGAAATTATCAAGAGTTTTTCTTCCTATATTATAGACAAAAATATTTATGCAGATGGATTTATTCTTTTTCATTTTTTTTTGGTGAATTTTTTTTTGGTAATATAAAGTTTAGGGAGAGAGGAGGCTACCTCATTTCACGACCAGAGCATACCATAAGTCTTAGTTACTTTTTTGATTTTTACAAGTTGTCCACTAAGAGGGATTGCCTTGCGAGGACAATGATCCTTACAAACTCAATACCATATGTTTGGACCCAAAATTATACCATCGGTTTGTGCAATTAAGGTCGTTGAGTGAGCACAGTTCCACACCATCTGATGAAAAAGTGAAGATAATTTTGTTATTATTAAAGGATATTTTATGATCTTTTAATAACAAATTATCTTGATATTCTCTTATACGGGATAATAAGATGCAAATTATATCTCCAAGCAAGCCGTACAGTTCAAATGGACTTGGGATTCTTGTTATCAGATTGGAGCAGCATGATGGGTTTGATTAGAATTGTCAAGATGCATGGTCTTCATGTATGTGTGGGATGCCAAGATGAAATCAACATGGAATGTCCCCCATGTGTGTTTGGAGTCGGTCAACCATGCATATAGGTTATTTTGGATAATAGCGATACCTGATGATCACCAAAAATAATGAAGTGGCATATTTTAGTTCAGGATAATTATTAGCACAAATATATGCTAATAATTAGCATATTCTTCAGGGATGAGCACGGCATGGGCTAAAGTGTTTAAACTTTGGCGATGCGTGCACTTGGACGCATAAATTGGCACTAACATTGCATGGTTCCTCATGATGCTATAGAAAAAGTTTCATGTGCATGCAAATTAGTCTGATTCCATCAAATCCAACAACCAATGGTCAATGAGGATGGGTCATTGTCAAGCGGTCAATTAACGAATAGGATAGCTATCAAGAGTTTTATTATATCAACTGCTTATCTTCAGGAGATTCAAGTTGTGGCCAGCTATAGATGTTCCATGAGAAACACAAGCAAATAGTGCTATAAATACATGAGGATGTGCAACGTGAAGAGCCCTCTTCAATTTAACACACAAAATGCCGTGCGCAAACTCTCGCTTTATGAGAAACCGCTCAACAACCTTGAGATTTTTATTTCTTTTTCCTGCCGACACATCTTCAGTTTGGATAAACAGCACTATGAAGGTAACCGGCGACATCTTCAGTTTGGATAAACAACACTGAAGCCATAGAATCAGCCGATTAAATAGCACATTCAGTTTTGATAAATAGCATTGCTTCTCGGCCGACTGATTACCTATCCAAGTCTTGGTCGACAAGGATTTTTTAGTCCTTGTTGGTAGAGGTCATCTCATCAGCCTTCTTGGCGAAGTGAGGTATTACCAGGTTATTACATTCGGCACATTGAAAGTCGAATTTGATATTGAACTTCGCAAAACTAGCAACCTTGTCTTTAGGCTCTAGAACCCGAAGGCCGAGACGTGTTCCTTTCTCGACTGCAGTCACAAGATCAAGAAGTCAGTAGCGTGCCCAACGCAACATCAACACATTTTACTCTCCAGCCGAACTTAGCCGACGAGTTGGCACTCCTCGCACACAACTGAAGGACGTAGTTTGCTTGTTAAATACTCAGCTTGCACGCCACGTAGGCTTAGTAGTTTTTATGGTCAACATCAACATACCATCTTCAGTGTTAAACTCTAATTTTTTGTATTAAGTGAATATGACCTACAGTTTTTACACAACTCAAGTAGTTGGACAACTATGTGTACTCTGGCCTCCAAAAAGGTGATTATTTTAGCAAAACTACCAGCTAATCCCTTTTTCTAAAAGAAAAGTAGATGCCACCAAGTACTACGGTTTAATAATATTCATCTTCATTTGTAAGTGAGAAGTCTTAGGTTCGATTTTAACCAAAATTGAATTTAAACCACATTATTGCTAGTCCATTGTGAGGCTAAGCTCACATCATCTCTCTTAATATAGATAATATCGTTTGTTAAAAAAAAAAATAGTTGGACTTTTTTCGAGTTAGATGGTTATGATGGATAATACAAATATTTATAAGAAAAATAAATAAATACTAATAAAACAACAAAAGTGCCGAAATTATTTTTCTTTCATTATTTATATATATATTATGTACACATTTATTCAAAACTTTATTACTTCATTTACCATTATATCCTTTCGCATTGTCAGTCACTGACTCACTGCACCCTCACCCACGCAGCGGAGCTAGGAATGTCGGAGTGCACCACAAACAACAGATAATAACCCGGTGGCGCAATCTCCGCAGTCGACGGCCCCACCAAGCTCACCCTATACGTACCCGCCGCCACGTGCGTCACTCCGATCAGCTTCAATACCACCATCCTCTGATTCATCGCAAACGAGTGCGTCGTAAACGACGGAGCAACCAATCTCGCCGACAAAACCCTCACCGACAGAAACTCCGGCACCAATATCTCGACAGAAATCAACTGCCGGTACCCGAAAACATCTTCTATCGCAGCTATCCTCGGCCGAACCGGGTCGTACTCATCCGACAAATACGGCGGTGAAAACGCCTCCAGGCTCAGATCAGTCGGGTACTCGACGCCAGTGAAGTTGTAGTAAATGTGCGGATTGCTTCCGCCAACCAAAATCCGGCCGTCAGGTACCAGGACCGCCGCGGAATGGTACAGTCTCGCTCTCGACGAACCGGTCATAACCGAAAACCTGCGGTTCAGAACCTCTGACGGCCGGTAAATGACTGGTGTGGTAACCGGATCGCGCCCGTTTTCCCAACCGGCCGCTCCCAGTGCGGCACCATTTATGATGATGACGTCTCCAGTCGGCAGAAGAAGCATATCAGCCATGACTCGAGGAACCGGCATAAACTCCACGACCCACCTCGGGTTCGGGTCATACACGTTGAGCCGCCCGCAGGTGCCAAGAGCGCTAATAAACTCTCCGTGCAACGCGAGCACGTGCGAGTTCCGCGGCGTGCCGCCGCAGACCATTATCTCGACTTCCATGTTGCCGTTGCTGGGTGTGTTTTCGTCTAGTGGAAGCAGAACTGACGAGCCCGTGCTCGGATAGTTACGTGGGTCCCCGCCGGGGATGTCGGGGAGCTCTCGGACGACGGCGTTTTGGCTGTAATCGAAGATTATAGATTTTGCGTTGGCGAAAATAAATAAATTTCCGTCCGGTAGCAAGTGGAGAAATGGATACAAATTGTTCTCGTCTTGGTCCGTAGTTTGTCTCAAAAATTCGAGCCAGATTGTGTGGGGCCCACCTTGGTTTTGGGAACTCCGAGGATAAAACTCGTAATTAAATTGCCGGCGGCCACCGACAATGATTACACGGCCGTCCGGTAGTATTTGATTAGTAGCGTACCACCTACGTTGTATTAAATAGTTCGGGAGCTCGAGCCAATCACAATTGTCGTTGTTGCATGGGGAGAACGTGCGGACGACGCGGTCGCCGTCGTTGTATCCGCCGGTCTGTACGAGCGTTCCGTCGGGAAGGATGGAACCGGAGGAGCACCATGTATCGGTGTGGACGGTGAGGGGGCGGAATGTGTTTGAGCCGAGGTCATAGAGGATGGAGTGAGCCGTGCAGTCTACTTTGAGGACGGTGTCGTTGGGGTCGCGGCGGCATTGGCCTCGGGGGAGGGAGATGTTGGAAGGGCCGTAATCGGTGCGGTCGAACATGATAACTTTGTTGGTACGTAGGAGTTGCATGTGCATGGCGGAGATGCCGACGGAGGAGTGGAGGAGGTGCCATTGGCCTTGGTTGCCGGAGGAGGGACGGAGATCAGTTAATTGGGATGAAGTTATTGGAAGATTGTAGATTATTTGTGAGGTTAAAATTAGGAAGAAAATGTGAATGTTCATATTGTAGGGGTAGGTCAAAAGATAGAGACGAAGATTTGGAGGGCTTTAGTTGGGAACAACTCGTATAAGTACATATATATATATATGTGTGTGTGTGTGTGTGTGTGTGTATGTGTGTGTGTGTGTGTGTGTGTGGTTTGGTGATGGGAGATTGTGGAGGAGGGTGGTGGATATCTTTGAGAGGGCCGGTGAAGTTTGCAGCTAAAACGGCGGATGCATTCAAAGAGTTGGAAGTGGAGCTCAAGAAGTATGATTACTAGCTATAGCCTATAGGCACCAACTTTCCAAGCTCGAATTCCGCTCTCTCATATTTTCTTTGTCATTGGAGAAAAACTTGTGTCCAACAGATTCTTTACGGCTTTACAGAGAATCGGATGAGACAACGAGTATAAATAGAAGAAATACAATACAACAGTTCTTCTTTTTGTGTGTTACTGCATAATGACGTAGTTTGACTGAAAGATATTAGACTTAACCTTGCCAAAATCATTGGAATTTCAAAATTTGTGCTCACTCTCCTAATTGATGGTTGGTTCTTTATGAAATAGCAAATCAGGCTTTAGTATAGGCAAAAAAAAATTAATCAAGACAAGCTAATTTTTAAATAGAGATGAGATGA